TATTTATTTATTTATTGGAAAGTCAGATATGCAGAGAGGAGGAGGGACAGAGAGGAAGATCTTCCATCTGATGATTCACTCCCCAAGTGAGCACAACAGCCGATGCTATGCTGATCCGAAGCCAGGATCCAGGAGCTTCTTCCTCCAGATCTCCCACACAGGTGCAGGGTCCCAAAACTTTGGGCTGTCCTCGACTGCTTTCCCAGGCCACTAGCAGGGAGCTGGATGGGAAGTGGAGCTGCTGGGATTAGAACCGGTGCCCATATGGGATCCAGGCATGTTCAAGGTGAGGACTTTAGCCACTAGGCCACGCCACTGGGCCCTAAAAATTCAAGTTTAGCAGCTGAGTTCTCGTGTCTTCTTCGTTGGGTCCACAGTGAACACACTGTAAGTCAATTCTGAAAGGATGAGGCGAAAGCATGAAAATTGCATGAGTGTTTGGAGTGAAAATGTGAAAAGGTCTTAGGCCCTCCATGGGTTTCTTAGATCAAGTTTTGAGAATCTCTACTCTAAAACTTGTAAGGTACCGTGTTAGCATTTCAGAATCTGTCTAAATAACAGTGTTCTATTGCAGTTATAAGATCTCTATCTCCATCTAAACACCTCCATCATTTATATCATTATGACCACATGATTTCCTGCTAGGCTAGAAATGCCACCATGAATTTTTAGCTGTCTTTAAGTGATTATCTTTTAAAGAAATCTGGAAGTTAAAAGTCTTTTGTTGCAAACCATAATAGCTCACACGCCTGCTGTTTCTAACATTCTTGAGTGCTTTGTGCGGATCCAAGTTTCCAGCTGGTATAATTTCCTTTTGCCTGAAGAATTTCCTTTGACAACTCTTGAACTGCAGGTCTGTGGCCCATGCATTCTTTTGATATGGGGGCTGTATAGAGAGATTTTATTTCCTGTTCAATTAAGGGGTTATTCTCATTAGGTGCACTCACAGAAATTCCCCTTCCTCTCAGGGGACTATTGCCATTAGACGTACTCACAGAATTCTAGGCTGACACTTTCTTTCAGCACTTTAAAAGTCTTGGTTGATTGCCTTTTGGCTTGGATTGTTTCAGATGATAGTTTTGCATTAATTTCTACTGATATGCCTTTTTTTTTGGTCTTTGATTTTAGACATTTCTGCTTACAACTTGATCGGGTTATGATGAGTCGTGATGTGATAGTGGTGGCAGTGGGGTGTGTATATTGTGTTTGTGTGTATCTGTGTTCTGTTATCCTCTTGGATACCATGGAAATTCTTAGACCGGGGGATTCATAATTTTCAATAAGCTTGGGGAATATTAATTCCTTGTTTCTCCAGACATGTTCTCCCCTCTCTATGTGACATTCTGATGACATGGTGTTAGACCTCTGCTGTTGTAGTGTAGGTTAAATTCATCATGAATTCTCTAACGTCTAAGCTGAATGCTATACCACCTAGAGGAGTTGTGCAAATATATAGCACATATGTGGAAGCTGTGTGTTTTATCTCTGAAGTCCCACTTCATTCTTTTATCTTCCATGTCTCTATTTGGTTTTCCCGTGTGTGGAATACTTGTACATGACTTCTAGTTCTGTTGTGTTTGCCTTCTTTAGGCTTTCTTCTATCGGCTGTATTTATTTTCTTAATTATAGGAGATGGTTTCCTGCTTCTTTACATAGCTGGCACTTTATGGCTGGTTGCCGGACATCTTGAGGTTACATGTTGGGATAGCAGAAGATAATCCGTTTAACCTCTTTGGAACTCGTTTTTAGACTTTGTTCACGTGATTCTTCGTTGCCTCTTCCCCAGGGACAGATCAGCCCCACTTGTGCTGTGTCAGCACTTTATAGAGTCTCTAGTGAATGCTCATGACAATCACCAGTGACTTTCCCATCTGATTAACCTCAGTTCAAGAAGCGTCTCCACCTTCTGTGCACTTTGGATTCCTTTCAGCCCAGCTGCTAATTCTGCCATCCCTCTTGCCAAGGTCCGGGGCATGGCCCTTGACTTGTGTGTCTGTGTGTGTGTGTGTGTGTGGGGCCTATAATAATAGCCTGGAGCCCTGTGTGGATATCTGGAGTTTCTTTTCTGCAGAATTCATTTATTTTTTTCCCTCTAGATTCTGGTTGTCTCAGTCCTCTCCTAATTCTGATCAGGATCTGAACTCACAAAGGCCACCAGGCTCTATTCATCTCTTTATCTCCCTCTGTGATTTGGACATTGATTCGGGGCCTGATACCCTGACAATCAGAGGGTTCATCACCGTTGTCTCTCTTCTCTCTGGGACCAGGGTCCCGTACTAGCTGATATGTAGTGTCTAAAAACAGTTGTTTGATCAAAGTCCGCCTGGATTTTTTTTAATGTATGAGACTGATTCAAGTTTTTATGAATTGTACATGACTGGAGGCATGGCCTATTTGGAATTGTTAGGTGTGTCTTAGCCCACCGCACTATTAATGGTCTTGACCAAGAATGACACACGACAGTGGGATACTTCAGTGCAGTCTCACCATGGGCTGTCTTTTTCCAAGTGATTTACGAAGAGGTTGGAGTTAAGAGCTTTGATGATGGGTATCAACAAAAAAAGTTGAAATATCAGTGTGAAATATACAGACATGGATGAGGAGTTCCACTTTGGTGAGCATCAAGCAACTGAGGTTTATGGTTCAGATTAGGGATCCTAATACCCATCTCTGTTTAAAAGCAAGTCATGGGGCTGGCACTGTGGTGCAGAGGATTAAATCATAGTCTGCAGCACACCAGCATCCCATATGGGTACCAATTCAAGTCCTGGCTGCCCTGCTTCTAATTCAGCTCCCTGAGAATGGGAAAGCAGTGGAAGATGATGGCCCAAATGTTTGGGACCCCTGCCCCCCTATGGGAGAACTGGATGAAGCTTGCGGCTGGCTCCTGTCTTCATTGTGGTCAGCTGGGGAAGTGAACCACTGGATAGAAGATCTTTCTCTGTCTCTCTAAAATTCAAACAAATAAATAAATATTTAGAAAACTCAAATCTTCAAGTGCTTTTGTAAGTATATTCACTTTTTTCTTAGTTCTTATTCACCTCTGCGGGTTCGCATGTCAGCCGGCAGGGCAGGTGGAGCTGATGAGTCAAGCACGGTTCAACGCTTGATAACAAGGGTTGAGATATCTCAAGATGCCAACTCATCAGGTTGGGGGACTCTCACATGGCATGCCACACTGTGGATTTCATGGTTGAAGGCCAAAGTGAACCTCTGGGATTTTTTTTTTTGATCCTTTGATTGTCAAGAATTCACCATTATCACTGAGAGTGGTCCATCCTCACTGGAAGCTCCCTGTTAGAAGAAAAGTAAGTTATTTCAAGACTTTGCAAAGAGAAAGGATTAGAAAAAGCAACCTTAAGGACATGATGGTTTCAAGTTTCCTTGTATTTATTTTTAAAAAGATAATAGATAAGTTTCAAATTAAAGTGAGGAACTTGGAGTGGTTAGTTAGATTTTTCTTACCATTACACTGTAAGCTTGGTATTAGATGTTTGAGGATGTAGGAGGGAAGGAGTTAGGAAAAAGTCAGGAATCTATGTGGCAATGATCCATGCGGGTCATTGACACTGGCCATGGGTAGCTGTTTCACTCCATGGTTTAAGAGGACTTTACAAAGTTGTGCAAATAGAGTAATTTTTGGTTTGAGAGTGAAAATCCTCAACATAAGACCATTGAAATAATTTGAGGGATTTCATTTTTTTTCTGATTAGTGTATAGTGATTTTATTTTGCATTTTAATAAACAGATTTATAGAGATCAATCTTAAAAAAGAAATGATATTCAGATGTTGAAAAGTATATCTGGCATAAAAATGACTCAACATTCCAGAGAAAGAAATTGGTAAAAACTTATGTCCTATAGAGATAAACGTCCCAAATACATGTGGATGTAATTAAAAAACCAAGAGGATATTAGAATGATGGAGACAATTCAGCTTTTGCCTTAAAAAAAATAGCAGGCATATAAATGGCATATGGAGTATTTCAGAAAGTTCTGGAACAGTGGAATGAAAAGATGAGTTTATTTTGGTATAAAAACGTTTTGAAATCCATGCATCTTTTTTTCAACAAGTTTTTTATGAACATGTTTGAAGAACCATCATCTACATGGATTTCAATTTTTCCATCCAAAAACAATAAACTTATGTTTTAATTCCATGTTGCATGAACCTTTGGAAATGCCCTTGTATACAAGTACATACATATTGGCATGCAAATAGGAAAAAATCTAAGACGACTCAATTATTAATGAGCTCTATCCTGGTGGTTTTTGTATTTGGAAGTAGAAAAAGCTACCATGTGCCTTCATCCTTACAACTCTGGATGCTCCAGGCTTTGCATGTTGAAGATGATGATGTTGACCAGCAGCCAGGAAATGAGGTCGAGTTTATAGCTTGTGTTTGCAGGCTGCTGCACCAATCACCATTACCCAGATTGTGTGTTTACTTACGATGATTTGATGGGGAGAGGGTGAGCTGAACAATCCCGTGCTGCTATTACTGCTAACGATTCAAAGAAGGATGTGTCAGTGGCATCCTCTGTTATTAATGGATAGAAAAAGCAGCTGAGGTACAAAAGAGGCAAAGTCATTTTCCCAGGGCCACGCAGCCAGATTTAAATATCAAGGCCAAGATGTGAGTCCCTCTTCTGATAAAATGTCCAGTTCTTGTGCTTAATCTGAATGTGTTGGAAGACAGAATTAGTCCAGTAACTGCATAAAAATCCAGAGGTCAGTGTAAAAATAGAAGAAATATATATGTGTGGATGCGTATATATTAATATAGGATTATATTCTAGGGACACAGAAATGAAAAGAGACTTTTGGATTATGGCACCAGTTGGTAACAAACTGAATAGATACCTAGTGCATTAAGGGAGCACTGTGGTTGATGTGAAGTTGTATGTACTCCTATTTATATCATTCAACAGAGGCTAACTTCTGGGACTGCATATTTTTTACCTCTTCATTTTATTTCAAACAGGAGAGAGTCGCAAATAGTGTGCAAGCATCATGGCGCATTTAGGTTCTACACTAACGGCAACTTATGCCCACCCCAAACCGGTACCAACCAACTTTCTACCAGCCATCAGTTCCATGGCGTCAAGCTACAAGGACCGCTTCCCCCATTACAATTTGATCCACAGCCCGAGCCTTCCTTGGAGACCAAGTACATACTACAGGGTAGCTTCCAACTCACCGACCTTGGCTCCATACTGTACGAGATCTCAGAGGGTGGCCGAGAGCACGATGCTGCCCTTCGTCTCCAATAGGACTACGCTGTTCACGAGGTACACTCCTGATGACTGGTACAGGTCCAATCTCACCAACTTTCAAGAGTCGAGCATGTCTCGACATAATTCGGAGAGACTGAGGGTGGATACCTCTCGTTTGATTCAAGACAAGTATCAGCAAATCAGGAAGACCCAGGCGGACTCCACCCAAAATCTGGGAGAACGTGTCAACGACATTGGATTTTGGAAATCCGAGATCACTCATGAGATGGATGAGATGATTGGAGAGACAAACGCACTGACTGATGTTAAGAAAAGATTGGAGAGAGCCCTGACGGAGACAGAAGCTCCTCTTCAGGTAAAGACGAGACCATACGATAAAGTGTTGCTGAATTTCTGAGGTTGGTTTCACCACACCTGTCCAAGCCAAGCCCCTATCCATAAATCTGTAGTTGGTTTCAACAACGGCAAAACCATTGCTGTTTTTATACATTATGCAGAACAGCCTCTTGATGAAAGAATTCTGAATTTAAAGCCAAAAATCAAAACTAGAGATCATGATGGTACTTCACATTTTCTGTAGGGAGGGGGAAATGACGTAGTCTTATCTGTTTAGTACGCTGCTTTGAGCACTGCTGTCCCAGGATTAAGATAAACCATATTTGAGGAAGAAGTTACCCTTCTTGACCAGAAACATCTCCTGAGTATCCCTAATACACCATGCTTGGGCTATAAGTGTTTTGGAGCAAGATTTTATTTTGGACTACTTGGAAATGCATACTGAGATACCATGGGTGTGAGTCCGAGTCTAAATATGGAATTCAGTGACGTTTCGTGAACACCTTTCCCACATAGACTGAAGGCCATTTGATATAGTCTTCTGAATGAGCCTTGATTTTGGCTGTGACCGTGAGGCTAGCAGTGTGGGAGTTTTCGCTTGTGGTGTCTTGAACTTTTAGTTCCAGAAGTTGGGACTTCTGGGAGGTCAGGGATGTTTACTCAATCTGTGTTAGGGTTTCCTCCCAGGGCACACATTTGAAATGATCGAATGAGGCCATGTTAAAGGAGTTTGACTTAAAGAGAGTGAGTGGATCGACTACCCAGGGGAAGATAGGAAGCATTTTCTAGTTGGCTCCTGGCTTCTGACCAGGCTTCTGCATGGGCTCAAGTTACCTGTAACCCTTGGACCCTGTGATGGGCTCTCAGTCGCTTCTGTTCTCTAGCACTAAAAGAAAATATTCCCCAATTGAAGGTGTGTAAGCCACAGACACGGTTTCAGAAGTTGTTCACATGTTTCAATGAGTGTGGCTAATCTCACCTTTGCTCCAGATTTGCATGACTTGTGTTTGTGTGTGGTCGGCATCTGCTGTGGGTCCTTCCTCATCACGGGATCAATGACTGAAGGGGTTAGACATGCCAAGAGTCAGAAACAAGTAGCTTGTGTTTATTGGCCATTTTGATGCCTGGTGGCCCATCCCCTCTGTGCTAGACACAGCCACACATACAGAACAGAACCCCCAGGAATGGTGAGAAAAGGCTGGCAGTGCCCTCTGCATGTGTTTTAAAATTAAATTCTTGGGGCTGATGGCTTCACCTCAGAAGACCTCTATGTCTTCCCTGAGTCCTGGCTCATTTTGAGGGTGACAGGTGTATTCTACAACTCACCTGGAGCGTCTTAAATATTATAGCCACATCTCCTCTCAGTAGAGAGTCTGTTTCTTCTCTTAGTACCCCTTTCAGGGATGGCCATTTGCAAGGAGGTGATTCTAATTTTTTTCTGCAACTTTTGTCCTTATGTTCTTATGTGTTTGAATATTTGCTGCCCAAAATTAGAATTAGAATTAGTCAAACAGATAAATCTCAAAAGACAAAGTAAAGATGCTCAACTCAAGTAAGCATAAAATCTTCAAACTTTAAATGCAAATGGAGCCAACGAGGGAGGCATCTTTAGCCTTTCAAATTTGCAGTAAGATAAACATACTATTCTGAGATTGGCAGAAGAGCAGAAAATGACCACTTGCCCATACTACTGGTGGATCTGTGGCTTGGTAGACATTTCCTGAAATGAAATTTACTAATACATAGTAAAACAACCGCAGTTGCAAATTATAACCATTTAAAAAGTTAGAGACAATATTTTGTACAGTGATATATATCTGAATTATAATGTCCATGGTATTTATGTTGTGGTTTTTTGGCCGAGTTGCACAGAGAGAAGGCGAGAGGGAGATCTTCGATCTTCTGGTTCACTTCCCAAATGGCTACAATGACTGTAATTGAACTGACCTGAAGCCAGAAGCCAGAAGCCAGGAACTTCCTCTCTGTCTCCCATGCGTAGGGCAGGGACCCATTGACATGAGCCATCCTTTGCTGCTTTCTTGGGCCAGAAGCAGGGAACTGTTTTGGAGGTGAAGCAGCTGGAACATGAAATGGTGCCTACATGGGATTTTGTTGCCACAGGTGGAGGCTTAGCTTACTTTACTATAGCGCCAGCTCCTATTTGTGTTTTAGAACATTTAGCATTATACAGGAGTCTATGCCATTGAAACAGCCCTTGAAATAAGCATTCAATGGCTGCATAATGTTATTTTGTAAATAATTTATTGTTAATTGTTAATCATCTGAGCTATATCCCGTTGGAGTCACTGATGCACTTTATCTCAAAGAATATTTCATGACCCAAGCCTACTAACAGCCATCCTGAAAAGCAAAACACAAAACTGTAATGACATTGTAATTCCCATTTTGTTAAAGCAAGCAAATCAGTGATAGGAAGACTGTCAAATCATATTTTTTGCTTTTCCACATTTTCTTCTTCTAATGAATAAACTCATTTTTTGTTATAATTAGGAGAGCAAATAATATTTAAAAATTATCACTTGGATTTTGATTACACACATATCAAAATGCATAAACTATGTCAAAATGAACTTCAAGAAAATCATTTATTCTTATCGATAGAAATTTTTTAGAAATAATATCTTAAGGACCATGGTTTATGCTCTTGAATTATTTCAAAGAAACTGATGGTACATTCCAGCTGCTGCTGTATGAAATACAAGCAGATGCCATCGCTTCATTGGGTCAACTTTCCAGAGTAAGGAATATCTTCAACCATTTAGCTGATAGGATTTATTGCGTTGTCTCCATCATTCTCAGATCTGCACAGACTGGTTTGAAAAGTTGGAAGTGGGAGAAGCAACTGATGAGCTTTTGAAAGAAGTTGTGAGAACTGCTGGTCATGGTTGCAGTTAGTTTGTAGCAAGACTTTCTGTTATTTGTGCACCTGCAGGTGGCCCGGGAATGTCTGTTTCACCGAGAGAAGAGAATGGGGATCGATCTAGTTCATGACGAAGTGGAAACCCAGCTTCTGACGGTAAACCTGGGGGAAATGTTCGCTAATGAGACGACTGTAATTGTATGTTTACTATGGAGTCATAACAATGATACTACATAACTCTACATCACACCACGTGGTTGATAGCACTTAGCTATCCATCACTCTTTTTCTTGGCTATAAAAGTAATGTTTGTTCCTTGAGAAAATGAGAAATACAGAAAAGAAGAAAGATTTAAAAAAATCATGCAAAACTATATTAGAAGTTACTGTTAGTTTAGGGGTAGCTCTTTTTTTTTTTTTTTTAAATAACGGTGCTTGTGGGTACATGCAGCTAATTCACACATCTAAATTCAGGATTAGAATCCTACTGCATCAGTGAATTTGAACAGTGTTTTAGTCACTAAAAATTAGACTGGACTCATTTTTTCATATCATTAGATATTATTTAAGAGCATTTGAAAAATAGGTAATAGGCTATTATGTTTATTTCAAAAATCAGTTTTTGTTGAAAAGTCAGAATGTCTTACTCCCTTCCCTCCATTTTAATAACACTACAATGTAAAAAATGACAGATAATTATGTGTGCTTCTGACATTTTCTTCAGTTTTAGGTCTGCAGTTCAGGAAATCTGATGGATAAGTCCAAGGACACATGCATTTGGAAGTCTTTGGACACTAACCAAACGGCCACACGAAACCTTACAGTTCTGTCGGTCTTGCTCTGTTGATTTACTCACTAGTCTCTCTCCCCAACCCCAACCTCTTGCATCAATGATGTACAATTTTGCTCTAAGTTTTATGACCTTCACTTTCTACACTTGGAACCACAAGATGTCTGCTGTTACTTACACTGCCAGCTGCCTTGTGCCTGGGGCCAGCCCTGTCAGATAATTTCCTTCAGCCCAGACACTATTAAGCAGTAGTTCTGTGTCCTTAAGTGTCTGCCAAACATTTAAAATACACACACACACACACACACACACACACACCTATATATATTTTTGTTTGTTTGTTTTGTGACTCTGGGGTTTTTATCTTCTCCTCAGCTCCTCTTCATAGCTGGTCCATGTGAAGTTCCCCAATACCTTCCACTTCACACCATCACCAGCTGCTTCCTTCCGTTGTAGCTTCTTCTTTGCCTAGTTGCATCAGGAGAAGATCTCAGCTACAGGGAATCCATCTTCTCTTCCCTCGAGGCAGCTTGGCAGGGTCCCACCTCTTTGCCTTTGCTTAAATTATCCCTAGTGAGAAATGGGTTCTCTGTAAGAAAGTAGGATGAACTGGAGCTCGCAGCTTGGTCATCCGAGTACTTTTATGACACTTGATCCTTGTCACATCATCCCTGCTGTCTTTTCCCATGGCCAGTGAAGTTTCAGTAACTCATGACGTTAAGGACAATAAGCAGAAGCTTTTCTCCCCTTGTGCTTTCTCTTCTGCTGCTTCCTGGCTCTCTGGGAGGAACCCCAGTTGAAAGAATATCCTCAGGAAAGTTGTGGCGATGCCATTGACTCTGTAAAAGCCACTGCCCCAGAACTAATGCTAGGGTCCCACAGGTTAAGCGACCACCTGCAGTGCTGGCAACCTGTGTGAATACTGGTTCGAGTCCTGGCTGCTCTGCTTGTGATCCGGTTCCCTGTTAATACACCTGGCAGTGGATGATGATTTGTCTTGAAAGACTCTGTCTTTCAAATAAATGTGGTTTTTTTTGGGGGGGGTGCGGCGAGGGAAGTAAAGCCACAGACCCTCTTGCCACCTGCCAGCAGTTGGGAATGGGAAACTCCTCAGTGACCAGCTTTGCAAGCAAGGATGGATCCCAGCCTCTGATGAAGCTCTCAAGCCTTAAAACAAGCCAGCTTGTACTTTGTCATCCTAAACGGGTAGGAGCCCACCAGCATTTGCCCTGGAACTTTTTGTTTTTCCTGACCCTGAAATCTTTGGCATGAAGTAGATGATAAGACAGTTCTACCAGCTTAACTTCACTGATTTTCTTACAAACACATTGTGCTATTTCCAAGAAGCAGATTTGAAACTTGTCTCCTCTTGGTGTTCCCATTGTTTAATGAGGTGCGCTCAAATCCAGCTGGATACAAGTCCCACAAAGAAGGTTTTAGCAAGATGATTGGGTAACACTCCAGGGCTTCTGATTCCAATCCGGAGTGAGCATTGTCTTTTTAGAAACTATTGTAAGGTGATCTTAATGATGAGGCAGAGATATGCCATTTTAAAAAACACCAAATATTGTTGAGAGAAATTAAAGATGAGCTAAAGAAATGTGCATACCATATTCATAAACAGTAAGACTTGATTATTTTAAGGTTTATGTATCTGAAAGGTGGAATGACGAAGGGAGGGAGAAAAAGAGAGAATTTTCTGTCTCCTGGTTCATTCCTTAATACCCACAACAACCATGGATGGGGCAGGGTGAGACCAGGAGCCAGGAATTCCATCCAAGTCTTTCACGTGGATAACAGGGACCCAAGTATTTGAGCCATCATCTACTGCCTCCCAGGAGGTGCATTAATAGGAAGCTGCGTTGAAGTCAAGATAGGTCTTGGTCTCAGGCTTCTTGATAGGAGATGTTCATATCCCAAGGAACAGCTTAACACCCTGCAGCACAATGCCCACATCTGGAAGATATCTTTGTAGTAAAATGACAATATTTCCCCTTTGGGGGGGCTGGCATTGTGTTGTGGCGGGTAATAGTCATTGCCAACAATGCCGACCTCCCATCTGGACACCTGTTCACATCCTGGATGTTCCACTTCTGATCCAGCTCCCTGCTGGTGGTCTGATAAAAGTGATGGAAGATGGCCCAAGTGTTTGGGCCTCTGTGCCAATGTGGGAGACCTGGATAAGTTTCTTGGCTCCTGGGTTTTGTCTCTCCTAGTCCTGGTCATTTTGGCTATTTAGGAAGTATACCAGCAGATGGAAGATTCTTTATTTTCCTCTTGCTGTCTCTGACTTTAAAAAAATGTATTAATGAATATCAAAAAACAGTACTTCCCAAGTTGATCCATAGATTCAAAATAGTTTTTACGAAAATCTCAGATGATTTCTTTGAAGTAATTGAGGATGGATCTTAAAATTCACCTGGGACTGCAAGAGATGCAGTAGTCGAAACTGTATTGGAAAAGAAGAAAGGTAGGCTGTTCACACTACTTGATTTCAAAAGTTACTGTGCAGTTTCAACACTTAAGACCGTGTAGGATTTGCATAAAGATTATAAATCAATGGAACAGAATTTGAGAGTTGAGAAAGAAACCTTCCTAAACAAACTTTTGTGTTGACCGTGGACTGATTTTCAGCCAGAATATCCAGACAACTCAAGGGGAAAAGAACAATCTTTTCTACAAATGATGGTGATTTAATATGCACAGTCCTAGGTCATACCATATAAATTACACCAAAATGGATCAAATCTTAACTGTAAGAGACAGAAGTATAACATTTTTAGTAAAAGCAGGCATAAGTGTTTATGACACTGTTTCTTAGATCTGATGCCAAGGCCCAAACAACAGAAGAAAAAACTGGATACCATGGAAGTTAAAAAGTTGGTATGTCAACTATGTAAACAACAAGAAAATCTTTGCAGCTCAGATGTCTGCATCAACAATGTCTAAATAACTGCTATGTAACCCAGTTTAAAAATGGGCAAGGATGGGATCTATGCAGTGGCCCAACAGGCTAAGCCTCTGCCTGTGGCGTCATCATCCCATAAGTACAGTGGTCATGTCCCAGCTGCTCCACTTTCCATCCAGCTGTTTGCTTATGGCCTGGAAAGCAGCAGAGGTTGGCCCAAGTCCTCAGGCCCTTGCACTCATGTAGGAGATCCAGAAGGAGCTCCTGGCTCCTGACTTTGGATTGGCTTAGTTCTAACTACTGCATCCACTTGCAGAGTGAACTAGCAGATGGGAGATCTCTCTGTCTCTTCTCTTCTCTTCTCTTCTCTTCTCTTCTCTTCTCTTCTCTTCTCTTCTCTTCTCTTCTCTTCTCTTCTCTTCTCCTCTCTTCTCTTCTTCTCCTTTCTGTAAATTTGCCTTTCAAACTAAAAAAATCTTTGTAAAAAACAATGATCCAAAGATAAATGATTCTCCAAAGTGGATATGCAAATGGCCCAGCCTGCATATGATAAGATGCTCAACCTGTGAATTACTGTTGGAGAAATATAAGTCACCTCACACTGCAATAGGATTTCATACACTTGGATGACTATAACGACAAACTGTAGCAAGTAACAAGTGGTGGTGAGAATGGAGAGGCATCTAAACCCCCATGAGGTTTAGAATTGAATGCAATTGCTCTGGGAAGAGGCTAAATAGAGATGCTACTACTCAAACATTTCAGGATCAAAAGAAACATATGTCTAAACAAAAACTTGTCCATGAATGTTTGCAGCCCAAAGGTGGAAGCCACCCAAACTGATGGACAATGAATAAACGGTTGTGTAGAAATATGATGTTTTATTTAGCCACAACAGAAGAGATGAACACTGTGAAACTTGTACAACATCCCGCTGATGAAAGCAGGCAGTCACAAACAGACTGGATAACATATGATTCTATGTCTTTGAACTTTCCAAGGTATAGGAAGTTTGAAAAACTTTCCAAAGTATAGAAAGAATCACTAGTAGATTAGTGTTTGGTCAAAGAGAGGAAGGTTTAGGGTTTTAGAAGCTGAGAATGGCAGCTGACGGGTACATATGCCTATGATGCCAGCACCCCATATGGGTGCCAGTTCATGTTCTAGCTGCTCCACATCTAATCCAGTTCCCTGCTTGTGGACTGAAGCAATTAAAATATTCTAAATTTGGCTCTTGTGATAGTTACAATAAACCTTATGTTATTAGAGTAATGGCTCATAAATTGGATGGGGGGAACACTTTGGTTATTGACAATTAATTGGCATAGTGACTATATGTTATTACTTACTCAAGTTAACCATATTAGCATGATTTTAAGAAAACATTTAATTTTTTTTCTTGAAAGGCAGAGAGAGATGAGAGAGACAGAGCTCTTCCATCTTCTGTTTCACTCCCCAAATGGCTGCAATAGCCAGAGCTGAGCTGATCCAAAGTCAGGATCCAGGAACCTCTCCTGGATCTCCCATGTGGATGAAGTCCCTAGAATCTGAGCCTCCATTGCCTTCCCAGTCCACAAGCAGGGAGCTGGATTAGATGTGGAACAGCTAGAGCATGAACTGGCACCCATATGGGATGCTGGCATCATAGGCAGAAACTTAAAAAAAGGTAGTCTTAAAAGTTCTAATTTTTCTAAACACCAGTTCTATTTTCTTATGAATTCTGTTTAACTGGTTATACTCAATTTAGTCCTATGGAACAGATTCTCTTGGGAAATCAATCATGGTGCCATTTTTCAATCACTCCCAAACCATATTAACTTGTTGGGTTTTTTGAAAACAGATTAATTGTATTTGAAAGACAGAGAGAGAGAGAGAGAATGTGCATGACTGAGATCTTCCCTCTGCTGGGTCACTCTTCAAATAACTTCAATGACCAGGACTAGGTAAGGCCAAAGATAGGAGCCAGAAGCTTCTTCAGGGCTTCCCGTATGGGTGCAGGGGTCCCAAACCCTCAGGGAATGGGATCAAAGGTGGAACAGCAACCCATATGTGATACTGACCTCATAGGTAGTGGCTTCAACCACTGTACCGTCCTGCCAGCCCCAATCCCTGATGAATCTACAAAGATATCTCTCACACAGCCTATGCTGACCTCACTCTGAGACACAGGCAGGTCCTACTACTCAGAATTCAGGCTTAGGCTCTGGGCCTGACCTCAGCATGGCCTCAAGTGTTGTAGAAGCAGAAGGCAAAACTGCTCCAGTTTCCCAGGTTGGTTGTGATTGTGCGAGTCATGCATCTCAGAGATGTCAGACTGGCTGTGGAACTTGCATTTTTGCATTTCAGCGTGGTACTCTGCTGTGGGAGAGGATTGAACAAGAAACCATGATACTAGCATAGGAAGAATGGTCTGGTAGGCTGTGAGCCTGGGGAATAAGAACTGCCTTGCTCACTTGGGTTTCTGCCTCTCACTGGGAAATAGCCTTCCTACATCAGCTGTGTCAAGAAGAGGCTGCCACTTGGTCATCTCTGCTGAACTCAGGAGCAAATGCTACAAGTGCACATTGTGAATGGACACAAAGACCTCTGCCTACCACACTCAAGGATTATGTGCTGAATGTAGAGAGGCAGTCCAAGCTCCTGGTTACCATTAGGCAGACAACATCAGGGCCTGCAGTTTGAATTTTTCTAGTGACAGCCTATCTACTCCACCTGGCAGTCGGGGGGGAGCAGACACCTGCTTTGCCAGAACTGAAGAAGATTCAGTTAACTTGGGTAAAGGAAACTGCAAAGAAAGACTCAACTCCTTGGAAGCAGGGTCTGGGTTTAACAGTCATATCCAAGAAATGATTTTATCTCCACAATTCAGGGTGTTGCTGTAGGTCATGGTTTGTCCACACTCAGGGTCAAAAGTCAGTGTCTTGGAGATGTGGCTTTGTGTTGGTCAGCCTAGAGCAGAACAGAGTCCATAGCTCACTGCCAACTAAGCTCTAGGATCACACAACCTGCCCATCTGGTAGGCGCATAATCATGTGTCCGACGACCTGCAAAGAGAACTATCATTACCCTTCGTTTTTAGCTTGTCTCTGGTTGCCGTTTAGCCAGTGGCAAAGCCAGTGTTTGCACCATGGCTGTCTGATGCTGCCACTCTACCATCCGAGACCTGGGAGTCAGGGATATAGGGAACCCAAAGGCCATGAAATCCCTACTGTACCTCCCCAGCTTTTACCCCACCCCAAGAATGCAGTTCCTACAAGGTGAATGCCATCAAGGATGGGCTGCATTTAAGACCCTTCGGACAGCTGGATGTGATTTCTTGCTACACGTACATCTGAATCAGACCACCCGTTAACCCCTTTGGTCACTGCGACTTGGAATCTTGGAGAAGTCACCAATGACCATATGGTTGATGGAGTCTAATTTGCCTTCCTCAGTCCAGGACCTAAAGTATTTGGCCCACTGTTCGGGCTGTGAAACACACCATACTCAGGTGCTCTGATGTAACCTTGACTTCTCAAGGTATAAGGCAGCAGCTGTAGGTCTAACCTGGTCCAGGCTCCTCCCACCCTTCTGCCTTCCTCTAAGTGCTCTGGCTCCTTCCACCCTTCACCTTCCTCTAAGTGCTCTTTTCATGGGCAACTGGGAGAACACTCTGTCTTGCATTTATTTCTTTCACTGTCATGTTTCAAGGCCATCTCTAGGTGTAATTCTGGATTTACAGGTGAATTATTTTTGTGCACAACTCTGCACTTTTCATGCTTGCATAAACTCTTCTGTCTTAAACCCTCTGCCACTCACCCCATGACATTATTTAAATTCACACATAAATATAACCCTTCAGAGACTTTTTTTTTGGTACTAAATCTCATTAAATGTATTTTTCCTCTCTCTTAAAGTCCCAGGGATTTTTCTATTACGTACAGCATGTGTAAGAATACCCTGCCCAGAATATAAGCCACACAGAAATTGGGGGTTTACAGAGTGCTTTCTAAGCAGGAGTTCACGGACCCTTTGCCAACACTTTGCCAACATGAAATATACACACACATGCACACATGCACAGGTGTACTATACATGCATCCTGAGTCATAGAGGTGGATGCAAAAAATAAGGAGACTCTAGTGAATAACCATCAATATGGGAGTGAAGAAGGTCTTTATAACCAAAACAACAAAGAAGCCAAAAAAAAAAAAGAATACTTGATACATTCAACATAAACAGGCACACAAATTGTGTTCACATCAAAATCGCCATGCATGAAATATAAAGGCAAGTGCTAAACACTCAGATACCTATACCTGATGGGAAAGGGTTGAATTTTACATGTGTTAAGAATTTTGTATAGATTAGTAACAAACTATAAACAAACAGGAAGAGTGGACAAGCAAATGAACAGACAGTTTACAAAATAATAAAGTCAGATGATGAACAAAGACATATTTATACTATAATGGGATCCGGTCACAATGAAATAAATAATAAAGGTGGGTTTCTAGAATAAAGAAAGTTCATGGAAAAGTGGAATTAAAAGGTAAGTGTATGGTCTGGCAGTCACAATGTGGGTGCTCACCTGTGGCTCCCAATTCCACCGTCCTGCCTTGCTGCTGATACACACCCCGGAAAGCAGCTGTGATGACTCAAGAATTAGGTTGCTGTCATCTCCCTGGGATTGAGTTCCCAGATACTGATTTTTTTGGCCTCAGCCTGTCATGACCAGTATGGTTGTTTGAGAGCTCCCTAACTCTGTCTCACAAATGAAAAAAAAACTTTTTTTTTTTTTGATGAGAAGTGACACCAGAGGGAGAGACAGCAAAGGAAACCTCCCATCCACTGGTTCATTCATTAGATGGCAGCAATAACTGACCAAGCACCAATGGCTCACCAGAGTTGGGCCAGGCTGAAGCCAGGAGCCTGGAACTGCAGCCAGGTGTCCCTCGTAGGTGTCCAAGGTCTAAGCACATAGGCCATCTTTTGCTATTTTCTCAGGTGTATTCATTAATTAGCAGGGGGCTGGATAGGAAGGGAAGCAGCAAAGGCACAAACTGGTGCCTATGTGGGATGCCGTTGTTGGCATGATTTCCTACATTACAGCGCTGGCCCCTGTAATACTGTTGAGTGTTGTCAGAGTGAAGAAAGTTTTTAAAATCAAAGTGGAATTAAAAAAAATTTGTAATCAAAAGGCTGCCACAAAATGGCATGTGACAACAGTGTTTTGTATGAAAAAAGCAAAAACAAAACAAAACACCCAAAAACCATATGCACTTTTTAAAGGTCCTTGAGGGTTATTTTGAATTTCTAAACTTTCTAATGCAGACATGGATCTCAGAGGGGAATGAGTATTTTACAAATCTTGGCTATGACACCTGCCTTGTACCGGAACATACAGCCTAGCGGTAGCACAATGCCGTAGGTGTGGCCAGGTAGAGCACCTGGCTGACGCAGGTGTTTGTGCTAGTGCAAGGGGCTGTGCTGCAGTGCACAGACAGGATACGAGGAGGCCTGAACTCCCAGGATGGGAGTCAGGCTGTGTGTCTGTACCCAAGAGCTGGAACTTATGCAGGGTAGATGCCCTATAGGAGAAAAAATCACCCCTTTCTTCTCCCCAGTCTACTTTGCCTTGGAAGAACAGCTTCTAAAAAGATGTGCATGTAAATTCAGCCTTGCACACGACCAGAATGTTGGTCAATTTTCTTCCCTCTCTTTATTATTAGTATGAAGAGCAAACACGAGAGACAGAGAGAGAGAGAGAACCTTAACCCTAAAATTTTAGTTGTATTATAATTCTATAGCTCTATAAAGAATATGTCTCAGCCTAATCCTTTATTTGAATTTGCAATATATGGAAGGAGGAGCATCTAGGTACTTTTAGGGAACTTAATATAAAATTGTTTCATTATTTAACTTCATAATTTTTCAAGATGTAACATTTTGCTGAGTGTGGATATTAATTGTGGATGCTGTACCCTACAATGGAAACATTAATGTGCTTTTCCCCCCCCTTTTGACTTGAGTAGGAAGTTGATGTTATTCTGTGTTGTCAAGAAAGAATGAAGCTACATTTGGATAAGGCTATTGCCCAACTTGCGTAAGAGTTTTACCTCTGTATAATTTAGAGTCTATCCTGGAACCTTGCAAATGTTTCTTGGCCTCTTAACTTCTAATAAGTACACGCAACACACACGCGTGCATGTATTTTTCTTCAGTGGTTGTAATGAATTACTTTTAGAGTTCTTGATTTAAAATTGTTATTTAAATAACCTTGGGGGTATTGAGAGAAGGTATTTCTGTTCTTGCATGGAGCATGGCTAAAGTTTCTTTGAACCAAAAGGCTTACTTCAGGTAGATGATATATACTGGTGTGTTCAGCCCTGATAGTCAGATAAGTAATGAGTTGTGACTCATGGAGGCTGACTTTCCATCTCCTTCAAGACTCAGCGCTCCTTGAGTACCCCACCTGTGTTCACCTGTGTTCACTACCTCTCACTGCATTGTGATTTCTTATCCATCCTGTACCCCACCAAATCACCCACTCCACAAAGGCTGTTTTCCTGACAACCGAAGCAACTCCGTATTTATGGTGAACATGGAGGAGGGAGAATTGTCAGCAAGGAAGAGACTTAGCAATAATAATGGCCATTGGCACAGCCAAAATACTGGCTAAGCACATGCTGCTAAGAGAAATGATTGTTGTGCTCCTATTACACTGTTAGAGACATACCCAGGAGAGGATGAGTACAGTGAGGGTGTCAGGGATGTTCACTTAGTTAGCCACTCTACTCAGGACCAGCACTGAGAGGGTTGGCGAGCATTATGTGCGGAGTCCCTTGAGTTGTGATTAGAAATTTCAGGGTTCACCAGGATAGGCAGAAGACTAGTTGAGGGCGACTGGCCGGACATGGTTTGATTAAATACAGTTTACTTTGAATTAACATGTAAGCTGTAAATATATGGTCTTGTGCTTCTGACATTCATTTCTAGTTTCTGCTCTCCAGGATTTACGGGAACATCCTTCAGTGTGGCTTAAAGAATTGTTTCTACTTCATTTTCTTCCCGTCTGGCTCCTCACCTTCATCTTTGTTCTTAGTCTTTAGTGTTCTTTCCATTTTTTCGTATCCTTGCTGCTTCCTGGCTCCGACTGTTCCACCCTGGAGCAGCCATATCCCAGTCTCCATTTCATCCCTGGCTGCATTGCAGGCCACTGCCGAGAGTTCCCAGTTGTGTGCACTCATTTGGAATCTTTGTTGATGATCCTTAAGATGCCAGGCTTTCCTTTAGCTTGCAGTGAGCGAAATGACTGCCTCGTTTCCAAGAAGGGGTCTTCCACTATGTGGTGATGATGGGGGAAGAGTCATCAGTATCCATCTCAACTCAAAATGCAATCCCATTACACCAGGATTCTTCTGGTCTTGGGTTATAAGGTTAACGGGTATGACGTCTTAAACCTTCCCAAGGGGACTCTGAGGACGCCCCTTCTTACCTTGGTGTCAGTCCAATATAGGAAGCCTAGGGGAGGCATCTTGGCTCCAGACCACACACAAGAAAGTTCTTCAGCCCAGACTTCTACATCACAGCCCAAGGCAAAAGACTTAACACATAAGTATCAAGGAAAGGCAACCATTTGTTTCTCCATCCTTAGCACTTGTGTCCTGCTTTACAACTCACAAAATAGAGAGACGTTGCATGGTGCTGCCTCATTTCTACTTTGCGAATAAAAAAAGTTAGCTCTTGCCCAAGATATGAGCTACATTCAAAGAAAACTGTAATCATAACTAGTTCATTCAATTAAAAAAAAATCTTTTACCACGTGGCTCCTGGATGCCAAGACCATTTTTAGATGCTGGGAATGCAAACATTATTAAGATCTTTCATTTGTCCCAGGTTTTCAGATACTGCCTGAGTGACTCACCGCTCTATTCCTAGCTCAGCCATCTCTCCTAAATTCCAGCAACCTGCCTGGTATCACCACTACCTGCATGCTGAACAAACCTTCAAGTTTTGTACTTCATGTAACTTTCCTTCTTCTCGCCTCACCTCCCCACCCACAGCCTCCCCCAAACACCGCCCCCCGCCCCCGCCTCAGCTAAAGGAGGTGTGTTGTTCTGACAAGTTAAGCTCCTCTTTCTTCCAGAAGAGGGGATTCTCTTGGTTCTGTCTTTAAAACATATCCAGCATCTGAACAATTCTTACTTCCTTCACCAAGGCCTCCTTGGTCCAGGCTACCGTGACCTCTCACCTGAATCACTGAGGCGGTTTCCTCAGGGTTCTCCCACAGTCTGATCTCAGTCCTACACCTGAATTGGTCAATGGTAATGCCATGGTCTTCAGGTTTTCCCAGAGAAAAGCCTAACTCCATAGTTTACCAGAAGCCTACATCATCTGAGTCTGCCTTTCCTAAGACTTTGCTCAGTGTGCCCTGTAGACACCTCTCCTGGCCATCCCCTTTGAAGTTCAGACTCACATCCTGGCCCCTTTCCCTGTTTTGCTTCTGTAGCCACGAGGAATGCCTATTCCTCCTAGGTGGGTGCGGGCTCCTTAGAGAAATGAGTTTGTTTTGTCCATTGGTGCATCCTGGGCTTATAGGACAGAGCCAGGCACACTGTTAATTATCAAGCAAACTATTCCATGAATGAAACTGTGGTTTGCCTATTCTCTGTGCCCTGGGTCTGTCTGTTTGGAATGGGGCTGTGAGTCCCTTCCCTCTCTGCCTAGGGGAACAATGAGGATGACACATCTCACAGTCACCAAGGCTTCTCTCCCTTTCCAGCAGAGGGGCTGCTGGAGCATTTGGGTGGGTGAATTCCCTATCTCTTCCAGCCTTCTCTAAACCCTCCGCATTAATTATAAACCCGGGTTTGTATTTCCTGGTAAACTTCTTAGCTTCAGCATGACCACAGACAAAGGTCCCCCATAGACAGAAAAGGAGACTGTATTGGAATTGGTTGGGAAATGAAGGACAAGTGTTGAGTGAGGGGAAGAAAGAAGAAATGGAAGGCACAGATAAGGATGAATTACTTTAAAGCCATATCCTGTCTGGGATGGTTTGTGTGTGTTAGGAAAATACGTATTCCTGTTTGTCTGTGTTTCCTCACTCGGCTTCCACCCCACACCCTGGGGAGGGGAAGTATGGGCTGGGCAGCAACAGGGTTCTCATGGCTGGCTTGTATGGGTATCTCCAGGGAAGGCTCCTTCTGATGGAGGAGGAGGAGAGAGCAGAGCGTTAGGAGGAGAGGGGGGGTGGAGCACAAGCAAGAGAGAGGGCGTCCCACAGTGGGCATAGTCCCTCTGGCTTGAGCCTGAGGCGCTTCTCCCTGCCCCATTGCAGCTCGGACAGAGCTGCCCAGCATGAGCTGGAGAAGGACCTAAGCGACAAACAAGCAGCTCAACGCATCGATGACAAATGCCACCATCTGCGCAACACCTCTGATGGTGTCAGCTACTTCCGGGGCGTGGAGAGAGTGGACGCCACGTAAGTAGGGCGTGAGAGTTCTCCCATGGGTTCCATGGCGTTCTATTCATTCTCTGCTTGAGGTAGTACAGCTTACGAGTTGTCCTGGTCTCTTGTTACTAGCACAGAATACTCGACTTGGTGGTGAAAGACAGAGGTGGTGGGTTTGGCTCTTGGGTTGGGGACAGGGAAGTTGCCAGAAGTTTTCAGTGGGGATTGTGTCATGACACAGTGGGAATGACATGGATTCAATTCAGTGTTGTACCCACTGGTTCTTGTGGTGATTAACCACACACACTCAGGGATGAATCCACGTCTGAGCTGTAGACTTTCACCCAGTCATCTCTTAAACACTCCAGCTCCTAAACCCACCTCAATCCAGTTTGAATCTGAGTGTTTGAAGGGTAGCAGACCATGACACAGGTAACAGTGGAAGTGAGGGAGGACTCCCAGGAGTGAGATTCTCTCTCAACAAGTCTTCGTTAGACATGCTTGTTCCAGTACTTCAGTGTGTGGTGTATGAGAGCAACACCTACTTGATGATGAAGAAAGACTCATATATATTCATATAAAATTGTTCAGTAGTAAAATACAGAATAATTAGGGAGAGTTTTTTTCATTTTAATTATTATCTTTTAACATGCTGTCACATCAACTTCAAATGTAGATATTATACATTTTTTTTGTTTTTTTTTGTTTTGTTTTTTAAAAACATTATGTATTTGAAAGAATTACAGAGAGTGTGAGAGAGATCTCAACTTCAGGTTCACTCCTCAGTTGGCTGCAGTGGCCATGTTAGGACTGGATCAGGCTGAAACCAGGAGCCAGGAATTCCATTTGAGTCTCCCTCATGAGTCAGGGACCCAAGCATTTGGATCAACATTGATCCCTATTCCAGGGAAACTTGCAGGGAGCTGGAGCAGCCAGGGTTCCACCCCGCAACAGTTCAGGATCTAACATACTATGTCATAATGCTGGTCCCTATTTTTTTCTTCTTGAAAACAGGGATATTGTTGTTTCAGACTGAGGAATTCTTGATAATGATCATAACATGGGGAACTAGAGCATATTGCAATTTATATGGTATAATTCAATGAAGTGATATCACTCAAGAACAACTGATTCGATACTCACATGATTTTTGTACTGTCTGTAAGGGAAAATGTTGATTTAAAAAATCTGTTAGAACCAGAGAGATGCAAATAGAGACAGAAGGAAGGAGAACTCTGCTCCACTAATTCAAGCTCCACATGCCTGCAATGACTGGTTGGCCTGGACAGGTTGGGGTTAGATTTGAGAGCCAGGAGCCAGGAGCTCAAAATAGGTTTCTAAGACTCAACTGTCTGAGACAACACCTGCTGCCACCCAGGGTCTATGCTGTTAGGAAGCTGGAATTCAGAACCAGAGATAACAATCAAACACAGTTACTCTGTTGTGGGAGGCAGGCTTCTTCACCACTTGGCTACATGCTTACTCCAAGGAAATAACAGTTTTATTTTTATTTATATTTTTTAAAAGATTTATTTATTTATTTTATTACAAAGTCAGATATAGAGAGAGGAGGAGAGACAGAGGGGAAGATCTTCCGTCTGATGATTCACTCCCTAAGTGAGCCGCAACGGCCGGTGCTGTGCTGATCCAAAGCCAGGATCCAGGAACTTCTTCCAGGTCTCCCAGCAGGTGCAGAGTCCCAAAGCTCTGGGCTGTCCTTGACTGCTTCCCCAGGCCACAAGCAGGGAGTTGGATGGGAAGTGGAGCTGCTGGGATTAGAACCGGTGCCCATATGGGATCCTGGCATGTTCAAGGTGAGGACTTTAGCTGCTAGGCCACGCCGCTGGGCCCGGAAATAACATTTTTAAAATGAGCTTTATTGAGAACATTGCACACAATGAAACCAGTGCTTGTGATTTGAGGAGTTTATCTTTGCGTGGCAGAATTGGTTACCCACAGACCATCCCAACTGACTTTTCTGTCTCTCCTCTGCTTCCTCAGGATCTCCGTGCCTGAAACTTGGGCCAAATTTACAGATGACAACATTCTACGCTCTCAGAGTGAGCGTACGGCCTCTGCCAAGCTCAGGGATGACATTGAAAACCTCCTGGTGGTGACTGCCAATGAGATGTGGAATCAGTTCAACCGGGTGAACTTGGCTTTCACTAATCGCATCGCCGAGACTGCTGATGCTAAGAATAAGATCCAGATTCACTTAGCAAAGGTACCTCCCGACTCCTTGGCGTATCCACCTGCTGCAGCTGAGCCAGATAGGGCAGAGGGCAAATCTCTCACCACACCCAGAAAGACACCAACAGGCACATGACCTCCCTGCCATCCGGAGTAAGAAATAATAGAAATGGCACAGCAGGGAACATTTATTTCAGCCAGGTAGCTAGGTGTCAGAATGAAATTAGAATCCCATAGTGTTGGGAACACAAAGAAGGTAGTATGCAATGAATGGTTCTTAGTATTTCTTGGAAACAAAAATATTATTCGAGTTAGATGAATTCCTATATATAGTTAGGAAGTGGGTTTATTATTAGAACATATGAGAGGTGTGTTTTCTGTTATTTCAGACCTGCCCTGTAGAACACAGAATCAAAATCAGGCCACTATTGGGTAATTCAAAGTCTTCCTGGTATTGCATTTTTAAATGCACTAAGCAAGAAGCCTTATGCAGTGACAATAAAGTGAAGATTTTGAGCAGAAGGGGGTTGTTGGCAGGCAAAGATGATAGACGCTCTTCATGGACTCAGCACTGGTCCTGTGAATCCCACTGCACTGTGGATTTCTGTTGCCTGTGATTGGTCATATCTATTTGCTGAGGACCTTTCACTGTCCACTCTGTGGCTCTGGGTGCCATTACTCAATAAAGAGATCCTCTGTGTCCCTGCGATGCAGCACTTCACTTCTCCTTCTTTGGGCAATAAATATTCTCTGGGCTTCTTGCTGTGAAGGGCAGAGAAAAAAAGCGAGAAGTGTAGGCTTTACTTGCAGGAAACTTATGTGGGCAGAGAAGAGAGACTTACCTGTAAAAAGCCCCTAATGAGCATCTCAAGTTGTGACTGCCATGTTAACACACACAGAAAAGTGTATTTGAGCTTTGGAGGGAGACCTGAATGTCCCAGGTAGCACAAATTCTTGAACAAAGACTTGAACACAGTAAATCGGAGGTTGAGTCTGGGGCTACCAAGAGGCTATGCTGGCTGCTGGTCAGGGAGGGTTTGTGTCTTGGGGACAGAAACCCGGAACAAATGGGCTGTGGCAGGTGACTGATGGCCTTGATGGAGGGTGAATAAGGTCAGGTGCTGTCTACTGCATGTAAACATGCTTGACAAGGGTGGGCAAGGTGTTTTCTGCGAAGGGCCACTTGGTTATTGATGACATCTTTCATGAGTTGTGCAAAAGTATCAAGTGCAAATGAATACATTAGAGATTTATTGAATAGAGTCTCATCCAGGATTGCCTTGACAGGGCTACATCAAGTGGTGTTTTGGGAAACTTACGTGACCTGCGGATTGGACATTCTCCACTTGTGCATTAGGAAGCTGCTGAGATAGAGTTGCTTTGTTTGACACACTTTTATGTACTAGTGTGAGTTTGCTAGACTGCCTAGGGACATCGAACCACTGCAGACTGGTGGTTTTTACAACACATTGAATTTTTTCTTCATTCAGAAGTCTACGAATCTGAGATGAGATGTTGGCAGGGTTGCCTTCAGTTTGAGCTCTTCTCCCTGTGTTCTCACAATGTCTCTCCTGTTTGTGGGTGGCTATGGAGAGATGCCCTCTGCTGAGAGGGACCCTAGTCCTATTGTAGAGCTCGCCTTCACCATCTCCTTTGCACCCTGTGGAACCCTGTCTCCAAGGTGGCCACAGTCCAAGGTCCTGGGATGTAGGACTTGAATGTATGAATTTGGGAGGAGACATGATTGAACCTGTAACAGATTCATTCAAGCGGCCATGTCAGGAACAGTGGTATATTCACACAGGGAAGCATCACCATGTTAACAGTGAGATAAGACACACGCACACACAGAGAGAAAGAACCATAAGGAAAACACTAAGATTGTGCAGCAGAATGAGGAGTAGTTCCCGCTGGTGGGAGACACGAATGGCTTAAGGGAGCTGGGTGTGTCTGAAGGTGGTCTTGGTGATTGTTAGGCAGCTGTTGAAAACTTGGGAGCAAGATCAAAGCCCAAATGACTGATTTAGGAGTCCCGGGAATACAAGTGCTGAATCTGCATCATGGCATGGCAGCTGGTTTGGGGGTGGAATGGAGAGCAAGCACTGCAGCAGAGAAGTCAATGGCTTTTCCTGAAAGTGAGCAAGGAGATGTCAGAAGGAAAAACCAGCACTCAGGACAGACATTGGCTGGAGGAAGCAAGTGAGGCGAGTTTCAAGGAGAGAGAAATCTCCAGGCAGCCTTGGTGTTGGCTTTGAGAACACTGGCACAGAGGGCGGTTCAAGGGGCCACAAGAGGGCTCCCAGGGGCCACTGTGCTTAGCTGGGTCAGAAGAGGAGGGAGCATGCACAAGCCAGGGTTGAATACACTGGGTAGTGAACCCAAGAGGCAGGATTGGAGAGGACCCAAGAGGGACTGAATGAGAGAGTAGTGGTAAACACAGGAGGTTTTCAAGCAAGTTTGGTCAAACCTGGGCATGTCTCCAGACCACAGGATAGGAACTGGAACAGAGGGTTGGTTGCAGGGAGGTTGTGGAATTAGAGGAGATGAGGAGGAGCCAAGGAGGAATTCAGACTGGTGCAACTTGGGAGATCCTAATCAGGATCCAAACCAGGAATGCAGAACCACAGGTGCAACACCCCTGCAAGTGAGACATCGTGCAGCTTAGACCCAATGGGCTTCAAGAAAAAGCCTAGGCTTGGCTTTATAAAGGCTTTTGATGGTCCAATGGAGGATTCTTGACCTAATTAACCTCCCCATCAGCATCTTCTCTAATCTGATTGCAACCTATCTTCCCAAGATTCTCTCCTGGCACATGTTCCTGCCCTCTGCTCCACTCCCCCAACCCCCGCAACAACCTTGCCATACCATGCCATACCAACCACCACGGTTTCTGTAGATTCAGCCTGAACTCAACCTCTGATTTTCTACCTCCAAGTTTCTTTGTTCGAGATATTGCAGTTTGGCCCCCAAACCCAGAACATTGGTGTCTCCCTCCAGAGTTCACACACATATTTGACATTTTCTTAGGAGCCTTCTTTATTTATGCAGCTCTTCTCTGCACATGTAGATCAATGGAAAGAGAACATGGGAACCTAGAGAGGCAAATACACATGGATGTGAAGAAACAGCTTGGGGTCTTACTTTACTCATTGTTCCACAAAGCTACGTACTGTCCAATAACTTACACCTGGCCATCTGGGGTGGTGTTGGGGACAACCCATTTACGTGGTGTAAATATTTCCACCCTCGCCCTTCCAGTATGAACCTGGAAGAGAAGCTCAAGATTCACACTCCAGTCCCACACAACTAGAGAAACTAGGTTCTCTGTGGCCCCACTTCCTCATCCTAGAGAGGGCAGGCAGCACTGGAGCACATGGAGAACAGGTGTCTCAGGGCCAGCACCAGCCTCAGGCAGTCATTTCTTTTCCTCCATTGCAGACGCTGCAAGAGATTTTCCAGACCGAAATGACCATTGAGTCCATCAAGAAGGCCATCAGGGACAAGTCAGCCTTCCTGAAGGTGGCCCAGACAAGACTGGATGAGCGCACACGGAGACCCAACATAGAACTCTGCCGAGACATGGCACAGTTACGGTAAGGCGAAGGAGGTGTAGTTGGGCAAGGGACATGGCTGGGGCTCGCCTTAACACAACCATATGTAGCCCTTGGTGCTTTCTGCCAACACACAATGTGCAGAGTTGTCTGGGTTGGATGCTACAAAACATGCACTAGGATGTATAGCTGCTGCTAGCTTTATGAATGCCTTGGCTCCACATTCAAAATTTCCATGGTATGAGCAGCCACTCTGGTTTGCACTTCTAGTACAGTAGGCAGCAAATTACCTGAGATTTTCAACACTCTTATAAGCATAGGCTTTGAATTAGACTATTTTGCCCAACGGTGAGCTAATGTGAGCGTTCAAAACACTGTAAAGGTAGACCAGGCTAAGCTATGATGTGCAGCAGGTTAGGCAAACTAAATTTATTCTTGACTTTTAGCGTATTCAACGTAAGATGGGTTTATCAGGACATAACTCCTGTACATCAATCTGCATGTGCGTCTGAGGGAGCCTTTGTTTCCTGGATCGGCTGCGTTTCTCCTGGCTGATCTGTTGTCTAGGCTATAGGCACAGAGGAGCTTGCCTGGGCCTTATGTTTCTCAGAGTGGGTCCTGCAGACCTCTCCTTTCTGTTTAAGAAAGCTAAAGCTAACCTGGTGTCCACTCCCTCCAGGCTAGCCCCTACACAGCCTGCCTGAAACGTTGCTTCATTTCTGGAGCACACCCGGTTGGCCCCTTAGGATTGAATGAAGAGTAAATGAGCTGTGGCTTTATGCAAATAGTATTAGGGGAAAGATGAGCTGCTGTTTCATTTCTCAGAAATTTCTGCAGGGCCTCCAAAAGCTGGGCTGTGAGTAAGTAGCAGATTATTCAGACTGCCTTAAGACAAACAGCGTAGTTCTTTATTTGAATGTCAGAGTTACAGAGAGAGAAGGAGAGAGAGGGGGAATAGATCTTCCAAAGAGCCATGATGACCAGGACTGGGCCAAGTTGAAGCCAGGAGCCTGGAACTCCATCTTGATTACACCCTTGGGTGGCAGGAAGCAAACATTTGGCCCATCTTCCACTGCTTTCCCAGGTGCCATAGCAGGATTGGAAACAGAACAGCTGGGACTCGAACCAGGGCTCATAGGAGATGCCAGCATTGCAGGTGGTGGCTTGACCAGGTTGTGCCATAACCCTAGCCCTGCGGGCTGCTCTTTCAAGCGGCTTTGAGGAGTGATGCAGTAGGACTTGTTGGGCAGTGGATCATTCGCAGTGTCTCTGGAGAAGCTGTGCCATCTCTCTCTGCCCTTTCCCAGCTACTCAGGGCTGACTTTTCTTCTCTTTCCTGCCAGCTTTCTAGGATGTTTGTGTCTCCTGTGCCTCAACTGGCTACAGAGCAGAAATCTGTTTTTGCCTACCAAGATTTCTTGTTAAAGTATCCCTGCTAAAAGTAGTTAGCATTGTTGTTGAGGGAAAGAGGTATTTTCCTTCTGAGATGGATCATTCTGAAAGCAACCCTTTGACTGTCTAAATGGAAACTAAAAAGATCGTAGATTCAAGGCAGTGGTGAATGAGAAAAAAAAAAAAGAATGGTGGTTTTCAATTCAAGACTTTTGTTTTCACTTAAAATGTTCTAAATGGATTCTTTCCAAAGAGATTCTAACCCTTCTTGACGTTTCTGGTTGTGGGCCAGGCCAGGCTCTGCTTTATTTAAATAATCTCCATATTTTTCTTTTTGAAAGCAAGATAGCTCTATTTGTTTCTGAATGCAAAATATGTAGTTCTGTAGTTCCAAAATGAGTTTTTTTTTGGAGTGACTTCAGCATAACAGAGCTCATCATCAGCCAAGAACAAGGAAATTGGGATTGAAATACGTCCTTGAAGATGACGGAAAATACATTTTTAAAAATATCTTGTTTTTATCTACTTAAGAGTCAAAGCAACAGAGAGGACAGAGAAGAGATTGTCTGTCTGCTGACTCACTTTGCTAAATGCCTGCAAAAGCCAGGACTGGGCCAGGCAGAAGCCAGGAGCCGCTGAGGGTGGCAGGGTCCATACAACTTGAGTCATCATGTGCTATGTCCTAAGATGCCTTAGCAGAGAGCTGGATTGCAAGTGGAGAAGCTGGCACTAGAACTAGCACTTGGATATGGGGTGTGGGCAATCAAAGTAAGGGCTTAACCAGCCGAACCACAAAAGTTGCTCTGGAAATTATGTTCCTAATAGCTTGTCTCCTACCTGTGTTTATAATAAGAGGAAGCTATGCCCCTAACTGTCGCCCTCCATGGATCTTGAATTATATATGTATTTTTAACATTGATGTTTTAAAGTATGGAATTTCAAATGTTCCCTCCCATGATACATTTGCCACTAGACCAGCATCTGTCTGACAGGGGTAAAGACTCATTTATCATCCTGCTGTGTTTCCTATAGTTGGGTTCCGGGTCCTTTTTGAAGCCAGGGAGGGGTGGGAGATAAGGGGAAGTCTTGGTGTGGATCTAAACAGCCCACCCCTGAGAACCCATTGCTGTTCTTCAGCAGTTGGGCTTTTGCTAGTGGTACTTCATGTCGTGTTTTCTTTTTTGAATTCAACTTGAGCTAAACAACAGCAATCAAATGTGCTTCCCCATGAATTCTCAGATTCTGTGTTTGTGATCACCAGCCCGAGCAAAACTTCAGGCACTTACATTTAAAATTCTTCCCATCCCCATGGGATGGGAGAAAACAGGAGTGCTGATGAGATAGAAAGAGATGGTCAGAGTGGATTTGTTTCCAGGGCCTGTTGCTTCTTCCAGGAGCTTTCCTGGGTTCTCAATTGGTCCCTTTCCCTTTCCAGGCTGGCTGCAGGTGGCTTGGAAGCAGATCCATCTCAGTTCCTTCCTGCCTTTGTTTTCTTTCTCTCAGTACATCTGTGAACTCCAAGCTTTGAGCAGATCTCCACCTCCTAAGTCGTCCTCCTTTACCTGTTACACGGAGGTTGATTTTCCTGCTCCATGCCTTGTGGACATGGCAGTCAACTGCAGGGGAGGCTGTGGATACAGTAGGGCAGCTGTGAGTGGATCTGGCTTCCTTGGTGCAATGGACAGTGCATAGGGCAGATGTAGGAAGCTGGGAGTCTCAGGCTACCAAAGGGTTGGTCCTCTTGGAATGTTCCACGTTGAACTGCAACCTAGACCCAGGGCTAAGGGAAGGACTTCCTGAAAAAGTGCCCATTCATTTAGGATTGGAGGTTGGTGTCCCTTAAGGGGAGGAAGAGTAGGTTGAGAGTTATCTAAGCTGAGCAATCATTAAAGGTGGTGGCCCTGAAATCAGAGATAGCACAAACACATCTGCAGGGCAGAGGCAGAGAGACGTAGGGTGGTGCAGGAGGAGTAGGCTCTGGGAAACAACAATATTGTGACCTTCCCACTGAGGTGTGGGAGTAGGGAGGATACATGAAGATCAGAAAGATTCTGATCCCAACATCTGATAGCATCATGCCTGAGATGGTGTCACCATGACCTAAAACCAGGCTACATCTGTTTCCCACGCATGCAGTTTGTCCCTTAGGAAAAGGTTAGCATGGAGGAATTTGGACTCACTGCTCTGCAGGTCTCTTACTATGAGCGTGTAGCTGTGGCATCCACATCACTTCTGCATTATCACAGACAATGAAAAATCCTAAGTGGAACCATTGTACGTCAGGCACCAGCACTGTAAGCACAACAGAAGAAACCATCAAGGAAAAGCAAGAAAGATTTGACTTGCTAAAATATGCAATCCTGAGAATAATACAACACAAACTAAAGCAAACTAAAATCAGGGAAAACCATTTTCATAGGTAGGAGGGCAAAAAAAAAAATCAGTATTTATTTATTTGACAGATGCAACATGGCTTTCAATCACAAGCAATTTTGCCAGAAAAAAAAAACATAGAAAGCTGAAATAAATGTGTATAACCTCAACTGATATGTTAAAAGGAATATTGCATTTTTTAATTTTTATTTTTAATTGATATAAAATGAGCAGATTTCACATTTTTCGCAGCATAGATTTAGTAGCATAGAGGTTCCCCTCTCACCATCCAATTCCTTCCTCTCTGATTTCCTCTCTTATTACTGTTTCCCAAATTATTACATTAGCATGTTTTTTCAGTTCACAGTAACACTTAACTTCCCAACGTTTTATTAATTGATTGATTCGTTCATTTATTTATATTGGAAAGGTAAATATACAGAGAGAAGGAGATATGGAAAGAAAGATCTTCTGTCTGATTCACTCCCCAAGTGACCACGTTGGCTGGATCTGAGCCTATCCAAAACCAGGAGCCAGGAGATTCTTCCAGGTCTCCCATGTGGGTGCAGGGTCCCAAGGCTTTGGGTCATCTTCCACTGCTTTTCCAGGCCACAAGGAGAGAGCTGGATGGGAAGCGGAACAGCCAGGATATGAACTGGTGCCCATTTGGGATCCTGGACATGCAAGGCAAGGATTTGGCCACTAGGCTATTGCATCAGGCCTCCTACTGTTTAAAGGAATCATGACATAAAAATCACATATAATGAAAACAAACTAAAATAAAAATGAAAATTCCAGTATTATTCAGGCATATAGACACTTGCTGTATGCAACAGTTAATTCCCAGTGTGCTAATCTCACAGAAATGATTTTTTTTTGTTTAAACTAAATCCAGTAACAATACCTGAGTGGAAAAGTAAGCAAAAGACAGGGAGAGACAATTCATAAAGTGGCAGAGATGTTTCTGAAAGTTCCACCAATGAAGAAGTAGCAAACTTTAGAAATCAATCAAAAACCATTTCAGACTACTGTTTTTTCCCCCTTTGTCTGATTGATTGAAAAATGTATAATGTCCTTCATTACCACAGCACGTTGTTGTATGTGTGGTCCATGGAGCTGACCTCACACACTGCCAGTTTGATGTTGTGTCAAATGTTTGACGCTTACAAACCTATGTACTCTAGAATCGGGAATCCTTACCTCAGGTCATGGCTGTGCAGGAAGGGTGTTATTGGAGCTGGGGAGTGTCCGTGAACTCTCCCTGTCCCAGGATAGGTTAACAGGTGGGGCTGGATTTCAGCCACTGAAAACGGTGCAAAGATCCTTTCTTCTCAACTATAAAAATATTTGTCAGCGACAAAATAAATGCAAAGGTATCCAGCTAACTTTTGAGTTCTCCGTTTCACTGTTTAAAAAATGTGAAGAGGGTCTAAGTTTTTCCTCCTTTAAAATATAATATTTGCTATGCGTATATGTGCATATTCATCAATATGTACAACTCTGTGTGTGCATATGAAAATGTGCTGGCATCCTAAGCATACGCCTAGTTTTCCTGTAGGATCATGGGGTGTGATTGACAGGTGTGACCCTGGTGTAACAGTAATATTTCCATCATGAGATGGAGTCATTCTGAGATAACCCCACGCGCTGCAGAGGCTCTGCGTGCCACAGCCAGCTCAGCAGCCAGCCACGCCCCTCACACGAGCTCGCTGACTTCACGTGCCCTTCCTTCGCAGCTCATCCTAAGCCACAGGTGCGTGACCCCCGCTAACCTCCCCTCACTTACTCCCTCCTGCAGCCTTGTGAATGAAGTCTACGAGGTGGATGACACCATCCAGACCCTGCAGCAGCGCCTGAGGGAGGCGGAGGACACCCTGCAGTCGCTGGTCCACACCAAGGCCACCCTGGAGCACGACCTGGCCGTCAAGGCCAATTCCCTGTACATCGACCAGGAGAAGTGCATGAGCATGCGCAAGAGCTTCCCCAACACGCTGCGGCTGGTGGGGTTCTGTTAGAGACGCCCCCTCTCATCACTCCCTGTTTCTGTTAGAGGACCCCCCCCCCGTTAACCCCGGGAGCATGGCTCCCCAGTAAAGACAGATTCACACCCCTGTCTCGGGGCCCATAATGAGTGTTAATGTATTCATGTATTAAAGGATTGATGGCCGTGTACCGGTTGCTTGTCTGGGAAAGTCTTCTGTTGCAGCCTCAACTTCGCTTTCTCCCACTAACCTAGACTCCTGGGTTCCGAGCAGGATAAAAACAAAACATACCCAATCTAACAAAAATGAAGAACACGCTGACTTCTATGATTTTCCGTATTTAAAGGGCTGAAAGGGAGAGCTGTTCCAACTCCGAGGTAGTCGTGGCAGGAGTCACAAGCAGAGTGAAGTTTGAACTATGCCTTAAATGACAAGAAGAGCCAGTTTCTCACTGGGTGTGATCTAGTCGGAAATAGTTTGACAAAAGTCGCAAACTGCACAGTGCCTTTTGGGACTGGAGTGAGTAGATTAGTTAGGCTGAAATTCGCTGGCCCTGACTGTGTATGAAGGAAGCCAGTGCAGGAGGCACCTGGGAAAGTGGAGGAAGAGGAGGTGGGCTTTTTGCTCCATGGACAATGCCTGAGTCGGAAATGATGTTTGAGCAATGGAAGTGTGAAACAGAGAGATGGCAGTGGCAGCTGAGAAAGGTGCCATGCGGATCACATTATGATCACAAGCTAACAGGACTTGGGAATTCTTTCCAAACGGGGTGCTGACGGATCCAGGGTGCGGTAGCATAGGTGTTGATGCCACCTGGACTGGTGTGTCAGCCTTTTGTTACTATGACATCATGAGATCCGAGAGATGATGCTGATGAGGCCAAAAGGTTGATCTGGGCTTACTTACGGTTCTTAGATTTCACAGTCCAGGATCAGGTGGTCTCGTGACTTTGGCAGCTGATGAGGCTGAGGAGGATGGTGACGAGGAAAGACCACGTGGCGGGCGAGGAAGGAGAGAGGTCGGCTGGGCCCAGGGTGGTTTCATAGACCCTGCATTCATCAGAGAGCTACCTCCCGTGGGTATCTGTGTCCTGGTTGACTTCAAGACCTTCACGTTGGCCCACTCTCTTACCATAACTGAATGGCATTTCTACACATTTAAGCTACCATTGACTTGATGATTTTGAAGATTGTCTGCAAAGAACTGGGGAACTAAATCTTGTTCAAACCCTAGCACCTGGAAAGGGGACACCTTTTAAATTCTAGGAACTCCTGTGATGTCATAAGAGTTATTATTATGTTTGTAAATCACTGTTGCCGTGGCTTGGGTGTGTCCCTTGAATTTGTGTCTTTGGCACTCATTCCCCAGCATCATCTGTTGATGCTTTCGGAGGGCGGCCTCTGGGCGGTGGGTGGGTCATAAAGGCTGTACCCTCCATGAGTGCATTAACCGAGCCATCTACAAATGGGGCATTGGGCTGCTGCCTGGAGTGGCCTTGGTGTAGAAGTCAGCTTCCTCTGGCACACACTGCGTGATGCCTTTGCCACCACCAGCACCCACAAGGAAGGGCCTCCCCAGATGCGGAGCAGGTGCTGGTGCTGTGCTCTCAAGTTTGCCAGTCTCCAGATCTGTGAGCCTAATCAACCTCTGGTCCTTTCGCTTCATCCAGTCTGCAGCATTCAGCTACAGCCAAGGAAAACTGACTAGAACAACTGCTTGTCTTTACTGCAAGCGAAAAACATTTGCACCACAGAAAATAGCTTAGAAATGAGAGAAAAACACAAACACTTACCAAAGTGCCTCAGACAAATATTTCTGAAAGTCATGCATTATTACCACATCCCCAAAATAATCACTGAGGTTTGTCAGCATTTTAAAATATATTTTTCCAGCTGTTTGCTGTGACTACAATCTGTATGTGTGAAACACTCATTGTCCTATATAGTAATGTGTAATCTTTTTTTTATTTATAAAGATAGTGCATAGTGCTTATTTTTCAATATAAATAACCTATATTTTGTTATATATATACACACACATACATATATACATTACATATTATATATAACCTACTGTTGATTGTTTCTTGTGGAAGTTTCGGATAATACAGAGAAGCAAAAGAAATAACTCCCACATGGCCAAACTAGCAAGATATTTTGATGTATGGGGGATTTTGCTTCTGTATTTGCATATGCATTTCCCCCTGAAGAAATGAAATTGTACTGGATAGCGCAGCTCACATAATGTGTAGCCAAGCTGCTATATTAGCACACGTGTAGATTCAACCGAACACACACTGAAAATATTTAGAAAAAGCAAACTGCTGCTGTCCTGGCCATATATAGATATTTCCTCCCTTGCCTTTATTTGCCAAACAAGACAGGTTTTTTTTTTGTATTATATTAGATATTATCAATCATCTTAATCAAATCATATAGGCAGACTTGGGTAGATTTGCTACAAAATCTATGACATTTAAAGTCATTTAAAAAATGTTGAGAGGCAGGCACACACACAAATATATATATATATATATATATATATATATATAGAGAGAGAGAGAGAGAGAGAGAGAGAGAGAGAAAGAGAGAGATCATCTACTAATTCATTCACAAAAACACCTGTAACAAGTTGGGGTTGGGATGAAGGGCTGCTAGGTCTGACTCCTTTTAGGAATAGAATCTCTGAAATAAGAGGGAGCACCTACAGGAGGAAAGATTTTTTAAAAAAGATTTTATTTATTGGAAAGGCAGAATTGTAGATGGGGGTGGGGAAAGGAGGGAAAGAGGGAGGGAGAGAGAATGAGAAAGCAGGAGGGAGAGTCAGAATGCTCCATCTGGGGTTCAATCCCCACATGCCCACGACAGCCAGGCTGAAGCCAGGAGCTAGGAACTCCGTTCTGGCCTCCCAAGTGGGTGCAGGGCCGAAGCACTCGGGCCATTCTCTGCTGTTTTCTCAGGTGGATTAACAGGAATCTGGATGGGAAGTGGATGCTGGCACTGCAGGTAGTGGCTTAACTTGCCAGACTACAATGCCTCAAAGTTTCTTCTCATGTACCTCTCGCTCCTATTAGCATTTCCATCCATTCCCCCCATGTTCTCTTTCCCCTGCCTTAACCACCCATCCTTTAACACCAAACTCCGTTTTCATCTCCCCTTACCATCCCCACTTTTTCTGTTACCTCCAAGCATTTTGAAAGCTTTGTTTAATCCATCCTCCAAAACATCTCAGAATAAATTAGCAGGCCTGATATATACATGATAAACTTGTACCAGGGTTATTCCGTGGGCTCAGGATTTCATTTTTAGGAATCAAATTGTAGGTTTTGTCATTCTCCCTTGGCTTCTGATGGAAACAATAATATAGGAATACCACCACAACACTTAGCAATTACAGCAATCAGATGTAGGTCAGCATAACATTAGACAACAGCAAGAATAAATGTAAATTCTACATGGCTCTTATTTGTTGTATGTTTGAGAGGAGAAATCTTTGACTTTTTTTCAAGAATTATTATCATTTTTTTTTTTAAGGAATACATGTTTATATAGTCGGTTTGCTTAGGAGGCATACATTCCCAGCACTAAAAGGTTAATGGGAAGTAAAAGTAGTTCAGGCACAGAAAAATGCCCAGTTTTCTTGTTACTGTGGTAAACCAAGGGCAAGATGAAATTCTGCAAATAAACATTTGTTTTTTTGTCTGACGTTCTGCAGCGATGCCGTTGAGAGTCAAGATTCTAATACCGAAACCCTGTTTGAGAACCGTAGAGATTACAAATATCAGCACCTGCTCTAGTTTTGTCTATTTAGCCCCCAATTGTATTCACTCCTATGTGGTCTTCTTGCAGGCTTCTGGAATCGCCACGAGCTTTCGCTAAACCCGAGCACTGCTCCGATTTAGAAATGTGTGTAATTGGCCCCTAAATAGCCAAGTCACCTATAATTTTAGTAATGTCCATTTATGTCCCTGGAGAATGTTGTCATAAACTCCTCTCACCTGGCACTTTGTGTATCACGAGTTCATGCTGTAAATAGCTGGAGTGCGGGGTCTGGTTTTAGGTTATAATTTCTGCTTTGCTCTGCAAACAAGCATGGATTCCTTCGCTTTGCATGCAGGGCTGACCCAGAGCACACAGGGAGCCTACAACTGAAGTTCATTCTGTGTGCCAGCTCTTCCCTTTCCTCACGCAGCCCCAGCAGGGCTACTTGCACCCTTGGCACTACTGCCAAGACCAATCTCCTGCACACCGGGCACTGAGGGCATTTTCCCGAGCCCGGGATTAACATGTCTGGTCTGTTTTTACACTGATAAGGCAGAGGAACAAGTCTGAGTCTTATTGCCAAAGATGGCAAATCGACTTCACACTGGGGGCCAGAACTAGAGCTTTAGAGATACTTACAGGTGGTGTTGAGTTCAGAAAGATGCTGCAGCCATGCATGAATTCATTCAAGAACTGAGAGGTCCAATCTGTAGTGCCACCTACAGAAGTCCAGGATGAAGAGGTGCCACCATTGCCGTCACAGCAGTTCTGATGCTTCTCCAGCTCAGATACTTATGTATTTTTTTTAAAGATTTATTCACTTTTATTGGAAAGGCAGATTTACAGAGAGAAGGAGAGAAAGATCTCCCATCTGTTTGTTCACTCCCAGGTGGCTGCAATGGCCAGAGCTGAGCCGATTTAGAGCCAGAAGGCAGGAGCTTCTTTAGGGTCTTCCACATGTGTACAGGGTCCCAAGCCTTTGATCTATCCTCAACAGCTTTCCCAGGCCACACGCAGGAAGCTGGAAGGGAAATGGAGCAGCTGGGACATGAACTGGCATCCGTATGGGATGCTAGCAATTGCAAGGCAAGGAATTAGCCACTGAGCCATTACTGGGCCCAGATCTTTATCTTTTAATATCACAGGGAATCTGGGACCCGGCCATTTGCTCATTTGTCTGGGAGCTATCATGAAACCCTCCTGCTGTACCCTTTTTCCTTTTAGGAATGAAAGACCTCTGAGGACATTATCATGGTCCTAAGAACTACTCGGCTGCCATCATGGTGGAGAGTTTTCTACTGCTATTCTAACTCATACCCCCTTGTAGTGACTAGAACTGTGGGAACCTCAGCATTATCCTTTATTTTCCAGTGATCTTGCATCTTTGAAAGTGAGGGTTGTCTTTAAGGTGTTACGGTATTCTTG